TTTTTTTTGAGATGGAGTTTCACTCTTGTTGCCCAGGCTGGAATGCAATGGTGCGATCTTGGCTCACTGCAACCTCCCTCCGCCTCCCGGGTTTAAGCAATTCTCCTGGTTCAGACTCCCGAGTAGCTGGGATTACAGGCATGTGTCACCACGCCCGGCTAATTTTGTATTTTTAGTAGAGATGGGGTTTCTCCATGTTGGTCAGGCTGGTCTCGAACTCCCAACCTCAGGTGATCCGCCCACCTCAGCCTCCCAAAGTGCTGGGATTACAGGCGGAAGCCACCGGGCCCGGCCCTAAATCCTCTTCTTTTAGGCAGTAACTATCATCAATTAGATCCAGTTTACTAAGTTCCTTGTGACTTTTGAGCATGAAATCTAAGAAATACCAATGACTTTCATTATTATTTTTACCTTACTTCCATAGAAAAAGGTCCCACAACTAAAAATTTAAGCCACAGGGATCTATTAAATATTTTGAGGAAAAGGAGGAAATGTTTTATCATCAAATATAAAACCATCTGTGGCTGAACAAAATAAATCAGAAAGTTCACCAAAATCTTGAAGGATTCAGTACTCAGATTCTTCACAAGCAAGTAAGTTGGAAACAGTAAATGACATAAGACAAAAATGAACCTGGAAAACCACACAGGATACTAATTTTTGAGGGCGGTCACCTTACCTGAATGAATGGTAAATCCAAAGGAGAGAGTAAGAGGGATTATGATACAAGGTAGCACACAAGAATTCAAATGATCAAGAAATCACTCAAACCTTCTTGAAGGTTCTTTAGCCATCTGTCCCTAGACCAATCCAAGGTAGAGGAAACTTACCGCATGGGAGTCAAGGTCAATAAAGCCATAGGTATGGCCCATAGGGCCTGTTCTGTTCTTGATGATACGAACGTTGGCAGTAGTAAGGCGAACATAGGGCTCCAGCACTTCCACTATCACCTCAGGTGGTGTGGAACGATAGATACGCTTTAGCATGATAGCTGAACCAACCATAAATGGGAGAAGAGCAACAAAAGGGAGAGAAAGAGAAATTTTTGAAGTTTCAGGAGTCTGTCATTTTTTACTACAGATGCTACTAGTAAGGCTGGTTCTGCAAAGAAATGCTCAACAAATAAATACTGAATAATTTTATTCACCAATACTTAAAAATCTAAAATCAGCTGGGCATGGTGGTTCACGAGGTCAGGAGTTTGAGACCAGCCTGGCCAACATGGTAAAACCCCATCTCTACTAAAAATACAAAAATTAGCAGGGTACAGTGGCAGATGCCTGTAATCCCAGCTACTTGCGAGGCTGAGGCAGGAGGGTCACTTGAACCCGGGGCAGGGGTTGCAGTGAGCCAAAATTGTGCCACTGCACTCTAACCTGAGCAACAGAGGCAGAGGCTGCAGTGAGGCAAAATTGTGCCACTGCATTCTAACCTGAGCAACAGGGCGAGACTTCATCTCAAAAAAAAAAAAAAAAAAAAAAAAAAAAAATTAAATCATGCCTTACTGCATTCATATGGCAATTTACTATTTGAAGGGCATAGCTTTAAGGAGTATAGTAAGGTCCACAGAAAGCAATGGCTTCTGTCATCAGGCCATGCACAAATCTCTTAGGGTACTGGAAAGCAGACAGCTCCCAGACACAACATTGGCCATCTATGCCCCATCTGTGATGGTCACAGTCTGGTACGTGCCCTGACAAACCACTTACTTTTGCTCTCTCCATCCTGGCGTGTCTCTCCAGACCATGACTCTTTCTCTCGGTCTCTTCGGAAAGTTGGCCCTTCCCTTCGAGGAGGCAGATACCTTTCTGCTTCTCTCTTTTGATGTCCTAAGCGGGACTCTTGTCCTTCTTCCCTCTTCCTGGGTTCAGGTTCCTTATCAGCAGGTTTTAGGGGCTGGTTGGCTTGTTTTTCCAATGGTGCTGGTATAGATGTTTTCTGGGGCTGAGGGTAGGTTATTAATTCTTGCTTGGCTTCTGTCACTAGTGGAACAGAAACAAAGAGAATCCCTAGAAGGCTTTATAAAAAACAACAACAACAAAAACACTACTACTGTAATTTCTTCTTACCTGCCAGCAAATACTCATATTAGAATGCCTTTTTTTTTTTTTTTTGGG